CTCCCGCACTTCCGCCCTCACCCCTCCTTCCCTCTCTCCTGCACTTCCGCCCTCACCCCTCCTTCCCTCTCTGTCTGTTTGTTCCAGGATGATTCAGGAGGAGAAGGAGACGACTGAACTGAGAGCGGAGGAGATTGAGAGCCGGGTGGGCAGTGGCACACTGGAGGGGCCGCAGTCCGGTCGGTATCGCTCGGCCCCCACCCTCCCGCACTCCGTCACTGCCTCGACCCTCGCCAGTCCCTCGCCCCCGAACAGCGGGCACTCCACCCCGAGGCTGACACCGCACAGTCCCGCCCGAGACTCTGATCGGCTCAGTGTGGGCAATGCTGTAAGTGTTTCTACCAGCTGGTGTGAATAGGGAGGTGGGCAGCCGAGCCTGCGTGTGCCAGGGTTTCAAGACAGTGAAGGCTATGTACTGGGCCAGGAGAGAAGAAACAGGAGCCAGAGTCAGCTATTTACCTTCTTGACCTTGCCCCTCTGTGCAACATGAATGTAGGTTTGCTTGTCACTTGTACATTTTATATCTTTGGTCTTTGAACAGTGTAAAGGCGACACTGGATTCTCAATGTTTTTGTTACAAAGAGTTTCGAAGTACCTCTGCAGACACAAAATTCATGCTGACAACTTGACTTCTAATATCTTCCAACCAGTCTGTTCACTTTGCTCTGAGTACACGCTCAGGCTTAACTCATCAAGCGCAGTGAACATAGATCAGTTATGAGAAACCCAGAACTGTGGACCAGTTCAACACTAGAAATACGGTCATGTGTGCTCTCCCTCTTTAGCTCTATCGTCCTTCGCTATCTCCTTCCCTTTTTTGTTCCTTTAGACTTTGAGACTCGGTTGCAAGGTGGGCATTTGTCGCCTGTCCCTAATTGCCCCTGGAGAAGGTGGTGGTGAGCTGACTTCATGAACCATTGCAGTCCATTTCTTGTAGGGACACCCACAATGCTGATAGGGAGAGAGTTCCAGGATTCTGATCCAGTGACACTGGAGGAACCGAAATATATTTGCACGGTGGCTCAATGGTTAGCCGCTGCTGCCTCACAGCACCAGGGACCCAGGTTCGATTCCAGCCTTGGGCAACTGTCTGTGTGGAGTTTGCACATTCTCCCTGTGTCTGTGTGGGTTTCCTCCCACAGTCCAAAGATGTGCAGGTTAGGTGGATTGGCCATGCTAAATTGCCTGTAGTGTTCAGGGATGTGCAGGTTAGGTGGCTTATAGAGGGACGGGTCTGGGTGGCTCTGAGGGCGGTGTGGATTTGTTGGGCTGAAGGGCCTGTTTCCACACTGTAGGGATTCTATGATTCTAAGTCAGGATGGCATGAGGTTTGGAGAGGATCTTCCAGGTGGTGGGGTTCCCATTTATCTCCATTTCTGGCTCCCTAAAAGTATATGAATCTTCCATCTTGGATATATTGTGGACCGTTAAAGGTTTAGGGTGCAGAATTCCCAACTTTCACAGCTCTTCAAGAGAAGAGAGTACTCCTTATCTCACTCCTAAACAGCAGCCCTTCATCCAGACATTCTAACCCTGTGCATAGGGTAAAATTAATCCCTGGTGAGCTTGAGTCTAGCCATTTTCAATGGGTTTCCTTTAAGTGTGATATTGACTGGTCTGGAGGTATGGGTGGATGAACTGGAACTGTATAGTTGAGTAGAGTACTCCTTCTGAGATTGACATGAGAGAACTCTACAGCCTGGGATCATTCTGTGCCTGGCTTGGAACATTGTGATGTAGAGTCATGACAGCAGAGGAGAAGACCATTCAGCTCATCAGGCCCATTTTGCTGCAACTAGGCTGGGGCTGTTGTACCTCATGTCCAGGCCTGGGACTTTGTTTTTCTTTATTCTTTTGTGGGATGTGAGCGTTTCTGATGACACCAGCATATATTGCCCTTGACCTGAATGGCTTGCTAGGTCATTTCAGAGTCAACCATATTGCCGTGGGTCTGGAGTCACATGTAGGCCAGACCCAGTTGAGGACAGCAGATTTCCTTCCCTGAAGGCCACCTGCTGGGTTTGTGACAAGTCAGTGGTAGTTATCTTGGTTACTGTCGCAGAAATTAGCTTTAAATTTCCGATGATATTAATTGAATTTTTAAACTCTAGCAGTTTTGAGCCCATGTCTCCAGAAGCATTAGCCTGAGCTTGCAATCCCTATTGAGTCAATACTAGAAGATGAAAAAAATAGCAGGGTTATGGGTTGTGAGGGAGGATAGTGGATTAGCCTGGATTGCCATTCGAAAGAGGCAGCACAGAACCGATGGCCTGAATAGCATCCTTCCATGCTGTTCTGAGATTCGGTGAGGCTTAGCATATGTAACAAAGACGTTGTTCAGTTTTCTGAATCTCTGTTCTCGATCAGTTCTCCTGACGAAAGCTTCTCCTCTGCCAGAACTCCCTGAGCCGGGAGGATTCCCGAGAGGACAAGCCCACCATCCAGTGCGAGACGTCCCCCCCTCTGACCCCCCGGGCTGCCCGGTTGGAACGGGTCAGCCAGGCCCTGCAGGCCAGCGCTCTGGAAGACAGTCGGGAGGTCCGCAAGTAAGTGAAAGACTGAAATACAAACGGAAAGGGGCTGGAGGAAGTCAGCTGGCCTGCCAGCGGCTGGGGGTGTGGGAGGGGGAGTGTGGCGGGGGGAGTAGAATTGGAGTTGAGTTGTTGGTCATTGGGGTCCCTTTAAAACTGAAATTCTCCAACATGCCCTGTGCACCAGGGAACCCGATATAACAGCTGCTACTGCAGTAGCTCGCACTCCCCGAATATAAGACAAAAGGAAGGTCTCAACAATCACTGAGGGTGTGATGTTCCATTGAGCTGACGCCAAAGATTTATCTGGCACTGTGTGTTTAAGTCACCATAGTCCCAGAAGGCTTCTAGGGAGGGATAACTGGTGGTGGTTTAGCCTGAGAATCACCACACCTCAGATGAGGGGAGAGATTAAGAAGGATATTCCTTCATGGTTACCTCAGTTGGTGTGGGGATTAGAGTCATAGAGTAATACAGCACGGAGACAGGCCCTTCAGCCCAAACTGGTCCATGCTGGTCATGAGATAGTAGGAACTGCCAATGCTGGAGAATCTGAGATAACAAGGTGTCGAGCTGGATGAACACAGCAGGCCAAGCAGCATCAGAGGAGCAGGAAAGCTGACGTTTCGGGTCTGGAATAACAAGGTGTAGAGCTGGATGAACACAGCAGGCCAAGCAGCATCAGAGGAGCAGGAAGGCTGACGTTTCGGGCCTAGACGAGCAGGAAGGCTGACGTTTCGGGCCTAGACCCTTCTTCATAAGAAGGGTCCAGACCCGAAACGTCAGCTTTCCTGCTCTTCTGATGCTGCTTGGCCTGCTGTGTTTATCTAGCTCTACACCTTGTTATCCTATGCTGATCATGGTACCCACTCAGCCAGTTCCAATTGCTCGCATTTGGTCCATATCCCTCTAAACCCTTCTCATCCATGTACCTATCCAAATGGTTTTTAAATGTTGTTGTTGTACCTGCCTCAACCACTTTCTCCGGCAGCCCATTCCATACACATTCTGAAGAAGTTGCCCCTGAGTTGGACTCACACTGTTGGCATCACTCTGTGTTGCAAACCAGCAGTCCAGCCAACTGAGCTGCCCAACCCTCTAACGGTAGAGTCGCCACAGTCCTACCAGTTTCCAGGGCTGACCTCTCAATTGAGAGGGATGACTGATAACCTGAGGGTCACGATGCCTCAGGCGATGCGATGTTTGGGAAAATAGGAAGCGTTTGTTCTTAATAAAAATGAAAACTGACCTTCAGGTGAAGATGGGCAAGTGGGGAAGGGTTATCCTGAAGTTACAAGCAGCTGTGCCACGTCCATTAGCCAGAAGGATCCAAGTCGGTGGTTGACACAGCGTAAATGACCAGCCTCTGGATATAGGGAATATCAACAACACCTCGGGAATCTTTGTCAGTCAGTCCTTGTTGGAGACAGTTCTTGTCTGGGAGAGTTCTTGTCTGGGAACTGTCTTCTTCAGGTAGAAGATAGCCCAGTAAAGATTGAGACAAAACCCAAGGAAGAGTTCCCTCACACTTCTACTGTCCTTCACAACTTTAATGAGGTTAACATTCTGTGTGCCAACTGCCCTTTCATCCTCTGGTACCAGTGAACCAGCCCCAATTCTCACAGTTGTATTTTTTAATGTCTAATGTACCATATCTAAACTGCTGCTTCTTATTAAACTCAAGAAGCCAGCTGAAGATTCCTTGGGAATGGTTGACTGTGATGATGAAGCCCCGAAATCTCTCCTGTTCAGAATCTAATCTGACTCTTCTTCGGAACTGAAAGGGGAAAGTGACGGGTTTCGTGTTGGAGGAAGAGAGGGAGGGAGGACAGGAAGCAAGAGGGACAGTAGGAAATGGGCCTCAGAGCACAAGGCGAAAGAAATTCTAATGATAGTAGAGAAGAGACATAGATGAGGAGTGAGTTGTTAATGGCAGAAAACAGGCCAACCCTACTGAAAGCAAACCCATGTGAACAAACACTGAAGTGAGGGGTGTAATTACAATAGAGAACATAGTTTGAAGCTGTTGAACTCAGTATTGAGTCCCGAACACTGTAAAGTATCTGAGTAGAAAATGGGGTGATGTTCCTCCAGCTTGTGTTGGGCTTCACTGGAGCGTTGCAGCAGGCCTGGGACAGCAATGTTAATGTGAGGATAAGGTTGCAAGTAAAAAACCGAGTAGACTGGGGCTCTTTGCCTTGGAAGAGAGGAGCAGAAGGGTGACCTGTCAGAGTATTGAAAATTGTGAATGGGATGGTTGCATTTGCGAAGAAGCTGGAGAAGTGTGTGAGCAGGGGATAGGTTGAGTTGAAGATGCGCAGGGGGAGACTCCTGTAAACACCAGAATGAACCAGTTGAGACAAATGGCCTGATTCTGAGCTGTAAGTTCTCTGCAATAAGTATGCTGGAATGATCAATCTCCAAATCCTGTAGTCTCCCAGCTAGTGAATCTGAAGTTATTATGGCTGAGGATTCTATCTCCAGCTAATGCACAGTCCGCTATGACTTTATACCGAGTGTAGGATAACAGACCTGTGATGTGTTACACTGGCTTCTTTACAAAAGAGAGCCACGTTTGCACAGGGCAGATCTGAAGCTTTAGAGACGCAACATCGAACTTGTTTCTGTAGTTCTGTGAGGTAATGCTCTTTGTTTCTTTGCTTAGAAAGGATTGAAACCTCAATGCCGATTTGTCAAAGTCTCCTTTCCACTGTGCCAAGTGTCATGCCCCTGTGTAAATGGGAGATGTGGGGAACCTTTAGCACCTTAACCACCCTGTGTCACAGTGGGCTGAGGGTCTGTTTGCAGCAGAGGTGGAGGTGGGGTGTCGGAGAGAGTTGGGGGGTGGGCGTGCTTCTGCATGCGTTGCCTAAGGCCCCCACAGAACCTCAGTAAGACTCAAACCTTCAGAAGCAGAGGAGAGACAATAAAAACAAAGACCCAACACTTTGGGAAGAAAGTAAAGATAGAATTGCGATTCGATTTATTCGAATCAACCTGCTGTGACATATCTCCCAGAACAGCTGGAACATGAAGCTTCTGACCCAGAGGTAGGGACGCTACCACTGCACCACCAGACTGTCTGGGACTGACCATTACACAGTGCCTTTAACAACCACTGCAGTGACAAAAGAAGTAGTTTTTGAAGTCCAGTCACTGCAGGAAACGTGGCAGCCATTTTGTGGACAGCAAGCTCCCGTGTGATGACGACTGCAATGTTGGTTGAGGGGTAAATATCAGCCAGAGCACCAGGTGGGGAGAGATCGAATTGTTGTGGGGTGTTTCTATGGCTGCTGGGTTGGAGAGCGTGGACCTGACTTAATGGTGTTAGTACAGTGTGGTTCTGTCTGTGTACAGTTGTGATCTTCTTACCTGAGGAGAGATGTTCTGGCGATGGAAGAAGTGCAGTGGAGGTTTGTCAGACAGATTTCTGGACTGATGTATGAAGACGCTGGATCAGTCAGGACTAGACTTTAGAAGAATGAATGGGGATCTCGTAAAAGCCCATAAAAGTTTAAGAGGACTGGACAGCATACATGCAGGAAGGATATTCCCAGTGACCAAGAACATTGAGGATGTTCCTCAGTGACCGAAATGACCTTCCTTTCATTGGGATAGATAATCACAATGGCTGTAATTTGAGTCCAAAACCAGGGCTCACAGTCTAAAGATAGCAGGTAGGCTGTTTAGGACTGAGATGAAGAGAAATATCTTCACCCAGAGAGCGGTGAGCCTGTGGAATTCTCTCTGCGACTGAAAAGCGAGGTCAAAATATTGAATGTTTTCAAGAAGGAGTTAGATATAGTTCTTAAGGCTAAAGGGATCAAAGGGTATGGGGGAGAAAGTAGGAATTGGGGATTGAGTTGGATGATCAGCCATGATCATATTGAAAGGGTAGAGCAGACAGGGGGGGGGGGGCCAAATAGCCTGCTCCTGGCCTGGTTTTCTATGAAAGGGCTGAGTTTGATAATATTTGTGTGGCTCTGTCAGTTTGTCAGGCCTGCAGGATGGTCTTGGGAACAGCAGTAGTAACAGCAGCCAAGACTCCCTCAACAAAGTTCCCAAGAAGAAGAGCATCAAGTCATCCATTGGCCGACTGTTTGGCAAAAAAGAGAAAGGACGAATTGGGCCTGGTGTCCGGGAGCCTTCCTCACAAGGTGGGTTTTATACTCCTGTTGCTCTGTTTGTTTCCACCTTGACTGAATCATGGATTATCATAGATTGTAGAATCCCTACAGTGTGGAAACAGGCCCTTCGGCCCAACACGTCCACACTGGCCCTTGGAGCATCCCACCCGGACCCATCCCCCTATACCCCACCTCATTTCATCGACACACCCCTGGACACTATGGGGTAATTTAGCACGGCCAATCCACCCTAACCCGCACATCTTTGGACTGTGGGAGGAAACCGGAGCACCCGGAGGAAACCCACGCAGACACGGGGAGAATGTGCAAACCCCACACAGACGGTCACCCGAGGGTGGAATCGAACCTGGGTCCCTGGAGCTGTGAGGCAGCGGTGCTAACCACTGAGCCACTGTGCCACCCCCTATTTGTGCATCCTTATCCGGTCTGGTCCACATGTGACTCCAGACTCTGAGAAAGTATTTGACTCTTAACTGCCTTCTGAAATGCCTCGACAAGCCACTTGTTTCGACAGCAATGCCAGCCATCTCACCATGCCCATATCCCAGAAAGAATAAGTAAAAGAATCAACCGCGTTGCTGTTTCACAGATGGACTGCATTTATAGTTCCCCCCCGAGATCGCCCTGGGACCGCCCGTTTTGTTACACCTGTGGCATTTTATAAACGAATTTTCTTGCCAAGCAAACATTGATGCTAACTCACCTCAGGATGTAATGAGTCAGGTGACCAAGAGCTGGGTCAAAAAGAGAGAGAGGTTTTAAACAACGTCTTAAGGGAGGAGACTGTACAGGAGTGGCCATTTTGGAGCTGAAGGCTCAGTCAGTGGGCGGACAGGGGAGGGGGTGTTATAGAGGTTGGAGGATGCCTAACGGGGCAGGATGAACACAGATCTCAACGTGAGGCAGCAGCAAGGGGTAAGGGTCCCAGCGAGGGGAGAAGGAGAAGGGGGAATAAAAACCTGCCAGGACTAGAGGACAGGTCATTGGAGCCCAGCTGTCAAACTAAGCAGAGGGAGACCCAGGCTTTGGGCAAGGGTAAACAGATCAGCACAAATGTGATGCTTCAAATGGTCACCAGTGCTGTAATCTCCTGTGGATTTCTCACTCTGTGAAGCAGCTGGAACTATGTGTTTATTGTGGGATGTGTCTTCTCCAGCCTGGATCAGCCTCTCAGTTGCTGAACAGAGAGTGGAACAGCCTGGGTGTGCGCTAGTGCCCAGCAGCTGAGTGGTGTGTATGTGTGTGTCTGTGGATTTAAAGGTAGCTCTGTATACTCCAGGCGCAGGAGGCTAATGCATTGTGTTTTGCCCCTTCCTCAGCCGGAACGCCAGACACAGAGACGTCCTCTCAGGACCCCCTAGGACTCTCAAAATTGGGTGGGCCAGTGGACAAGGACCGAAGAAATAAGAAAAAGTAAGTGACTCGTACTGGTGGGAAATTTGGATTCCTTTTGTACACTCGTACTGGTGCAGTCTGGTGCATAGGGACCCGGTCTGTGGGCACTATGACTCCAGGAGTGTTGTACTCCAGTTCCTGGTTTCTCTCAGCGACTGGCAGCATGTGTAAATCAGCGACGTTAAGCCTTTGATTCTCCAGTTTGTAATTCTTGCGCTCGTCAGCATTTCTATTCCAATTTGTGAGACAGTATCCTTTGAAAATGAATTTGTGACCATTCCACTGCATTAAAATACACTTTTGTGTTTGTTTCGGTACATTGATTACAGACCCTCCCCCTTCTCTCTCCTCTGTCCTGTGCTAAATGGTTGAGTTTAGTACTATCATGAAACCTGCTCATAATGTCACATTTCGTCATTGTTAAATGCTGAGGTTCAGGCAAAATGTCCATGAAGCTTTGACTGATAAAAATCACCCTTTTTTCGCATTCCTATGTTTGATCCAGAACTCAGTGACCCATCCCTAGCCCAGACTGAGATTTAATTAATTTACTTTCAAGAATGCCTGTTCTCAGTCAGCAGCTCACACATGCCACTAAGTCAGAAGCTAGTGGGTTATCAGCAGGCAGAGATGCTGGCACAATCCACACTGTAGAGATTCTGTGATTCTACAAAAATGCTAATGTCACTGGACTAATAATCAGATTCACAGGTCGGGGAAATGGGTTCAGTCCCCATCATAGCAGCTGTAGAATTTAAATTTAATTAATAAATTTGGCAAATAAAGCTAATCTCAATGATAGGGACTGTGACAACAATCATCAGTTGTTGTTAGTATCATTTTGGTTCACTAATGCCCCTTTAGCTGGCCCAGTCTACATGTGACTCCAGGCTCTCAGCAATGGGGTTGTCCCCCTTTAATTGCTTTCTGAATTGGCCTTGCGTTGCCCAGTTTGTAGGCATTTAGGGACAGGCAAAAAATGTTGGCCTTGCCAGTGATGCCCACAGCCCAGGACAGAATAAAAGAAAGAAAAGCCCTCCCGCTCCAGAGACTTGAGCACAATAATTCGGGAGCGCCCACTGCCATGCATGCCACCCTTTCATAGTGCCAAACCCGGCTCCAAACTGTCCTCTCAGTCTGACGTAAGAGATTTGCAGTCACTATTTTGAAGAAGTACCAGTGATTCCAAGATTTCTTCCTCCTCCCCCTACCAAGATAAACACGGATAACTATTGCCTTAACACATGCCACAGGTGAATATTTAAATTTTCAAAATATAGAGTTGCAGTGGAGCTCCACATGTCAAACCAAAGTTGATTAATTCCCGTTTATGGGCAAATTTTCCCAAAAACAATAGTGAAGGCTCTGTTATCAGAGGACCACATCAAAGCCAATCAAATAGAAGAAGGAGGACCATGTGAAACAGAAATGCTAGCACAGGGCAGCTGGGCTGAATGGCCTATTTCTGCATAGCTCTGTTTTGGATGCACTCTCGGTAAAGGAAGAAATTTTTTTTTTCTCTTCCAGGCACGAACTGTTGGAGGAGGCGTGTCGTCAGGGTCTTCCATTTGCTTCTTGGGATGGTCCCACTGTCGTAGCATGGCTGGAGGTGAAAGCATGGCATTAGCTTTGTCCATTCCCCAAGAGTAGGGGAGGGCTGAGGATAGGAACTGAGCACTCAGCGTTTGAAAGGAACCTCATTCAGCGCACCATCCATCCTGCTCCGTTTGTCTTTAAATCATAGAGTCATCAAGCTGTACTGCATAGAAACAGACACTTTGGTCTAACTCATCCATGCCAACCAAATATCCTGAATTAATCTAATCATATTTGCCAATATTTGGCCCATATCCCTATAAACACTTCCTATTCATGTCCAGATGCCTTTTAAATGTTGTAATTGTACCAGCCTCCTCCACTTCCTCTGGCAGCTCCTTCCATACACACACCACCCTCCGAGTGAAAAAGATGCCCCTTAGATCTCTTTTAAGCCATTCCCCTCTCACCTTAAACCTATGCCCTCTCGTTTTGGATTCCCCTGCCCTGGGGAAAAGACCTTGGCTATTCACCTTATCCATGCACCTCATGATTTTATAAACCTCTATAAGGTCACCCCTCAGCCTCCGACGCTCCAAAGAAAATAGCCCTAGCCTATTCAGCCTCTCCCTATAGCTCAAACCCTCCCAACTCTGGCATCATCCTTGTAAATCTTTTCTGAGCCCTTTCAAGTTTCACAACATCTTTCCTGTACCAGGGAGACCAGAATTGAATGCAGTATTCCAAAGGGGGCCTAACCAGTATCCTGTACAGCGGCAACATGACCACCCCCCAACTCCTGTACTCAATGCACTGAGCGATAAAGGCAAGCCGACTAAATGCCTTCTTCACCATCCTGTCTATATGTGACTCCTCTTTCAAGGAGCTATGAACCTACACTCCAAGGTCTCTTTGTTCAGCAACACTCCCCAGGACCTTACCATTAAGTCTTTGCCTTTCCAAAGTGCAGCAATTATCTAAATCCAACTCCATCTGCCACTCCTTGGCCGTTCAGCCCATCTAATCAAGATCCTGTTGCACTCTGAGGTAACCTTCTTCACTGTCCACTACGCTTCCAATTTTGGTGACATCTGCAAACTCACTAACCGGGGTTCAGGGTTCATTGTAGGGAGGTGAGTGTCACTGACAAGCCCTTTGTTTATTCTCATCCCTAATTGCCCCGGGAAGGTGGTGGTGAATTGCCTTGCAGACCAGCCTGGTGAAGACACTGCACCAGCGCCACTGATGGGGTTTGGGATGTTGATTGCGTGACAATGAAATAACAGCAAGTCATGTCCTAGTCGGAATGCTGGTGAATTCCCAATTCATTTAAGCCAGGAGGAGGTCATTCAGCCCTTTGACCTGCGCTAATCCAATTAGACCATTGCTGATCTTTATCATAGACTCCCTACAGTGTGGAAACAGGCCCTTTGGGCCAACAAGCCCACTCTGACCCTCAGAGCATCCCACCCAGACCCAGCCCCCTATTACCCACCTAATCTACACATCCCTGAAATTCTAGGGGCAATTTCCCATGGCCAATCCACCTAGCCTGCACATCTTTGAACTGTGGGAGGAAACCCCCGGAGCCCCCGGAGAAAACCCACGCAGACACAGGGAGAATGTGCAAACTCCACACAGACAGTCACCCGAAATCGAACCTGGATCCCTGGTGCTGTGAGGCAACAGTGCTAACCACTGAGCCACCACGCCACCCCAATTTAATTCCCTTTTGACTCTGAAACCCCTTGTACGTTGCCTGACAAAAATCTATCAGTCTGTGTTTGGACATTCTCAGTTGAATTTGAGTCTCAGCACCTGTTTTGGGGAGAATTCTAGGTTTTTCTTCATGTGAAGATGTACTTTGATCCTGAACAGCCTGACTCTGATTTACAAGACCCTTGATAGTCAAAATGATGACGTATGTCATTTTAAAAAAAATAGTGGAAGTGAAGTCACCGGCATGCGAGAGGGCTGCTGTTTCATTACAGAGAGGTGACTGGTGATGGTTTAATCTGAGGGTCAGTATGGCTCAGGTGAGGAGACAGGTTGAAAAGGAGAGACTTGAAAGGACGTTTCTTCTTGTGGTTGAGTTCAGAACTGGGAGGTACTGTTCTAAAAGGGCAATCCCGAAGTTTTAAACTTAGAGCAAGAAGGGGCCTGAAGCCTGTGGTGGTGGGATTGTCCATAAACAGTTTGTGTAAGCTAGTGCTTTATTGAAAGTGTTTCACTCTGTCTCCCTAGCTGTGGGTCGGGATGCCCGCGTGGTATGTGGCAGCTTGTCGCGCCAATGTGAAGAGTGGAGCCATCATGTCAGCTTTGTCCGACACTGAGATCCAACGCGAGATTGGAATCAGCAACCCCCTGCACCGATTGAAGCTGCGATTGGCCATCCAGGAGATGGTGTCACTAACCAGCCCATCGGCACCCACCATCTCTCGAATGGTAATGGGATTTCATTGGCATCATCTATCGCTCCTAAAGTCCCAGAGACTAAGGGAGTGGGAGCAGGGAATGCACAAGTGCTCCTCGGGAAAGTGTGCTTTGCATCGTTCCCGATTGTTATCTGCAGTTGTGCTGCTCTGGCCCTTGCACGGAGAACTAACTGTGGATTGAGGAAAGGCCATTCAGTCCATTATTGCCCCTCCTGGTTCAATATCATAGTCTTCCCAATGCCCTTCCTTTACATCCCATTGATCCTCTGCTTTGATTAATGTTTAATACCTGCTGTTACCCCCTCACTCTCTGCCCCCAAACTCTCTCTTTGCCCCTATCTCTGTCACTGGTCTTCTATGTCACCCTGGCCTTTCTTTCTTTTCTCATTTTTTTCTCTGTCTCTCTTTATTTCTTACATTCCTTATTTATGTCTTTCTTTGCTTCTTTCTTTCCTACTTTTTCTTTCTCTCTCTTTTTCTCTCTTCTTTTTCTCCCTCTTTCTTTCTTTCTCTCAGCATAGTTTAAAAAGCAGTGAATAAGGATATGGCTTTAGAGAGAGGTTTATATGTACACCTCAGCCGATCGATATTGTGAAATTTCTGAAGCTCTGTCTCTGTTTTTCCCTCTGTCTCGGTTGTCCCCTTCTCTGACCTTTGACCTGACTGGGCATCCCTGGATCCTGTGACCAGAACACGGGCAACGTGTGGGTAACACATGAGGAAATGGAAACCCTGACGACATCAACAAAGACGGTGCGTTGCTAACATCTCAATATTTCTGTTTCCCATTGAGGATGTCACTGAGTGCTAAGTGAAGAACCATTTGTTCCATGGGGACGTGGAACCAGGGAGTCTGTTCACAACAGCGCAAGAATTAGGAGCAGGAGTTGGCCTCCAATAAAATCATAGCTGATCTGATCATGGTCTCAACTCCATTTTCCTTCCCCTGCTTCCCAAAAACCTCGACTCCTGTGTTGATAGGAAATCTCTCTAACTTGGAATAGATTCATTGATTCAAGCTCCACCTGTCTCTGAGGAGGAGAACTCACAGATTAACCACCCTCTGAGAGGTTCTTGTCTCGGCCTCATTAACGATCTGGATGAAGGAACTGAGGACATTGTTGCTAAGTTTGCAGATGACACAAAGCTAGGTGGAGGGGCAGGTAGTGTTGAGGAAGCGGGGAGGCTGCAGAAGGACTTGGTCAGGCTATTAGAGCGGGCAAAGAGGTGGCAGATGGAATAGAGTGTGGGAAAGTGTGAGGTTGTGCACTTCAGAAGAAAGAATAGAGGCGTACATAATATTTCTGCCAACCAGGTGGCTAGAGTTGTTAAGAAGGCATATGGTGTGTTAGCTTTCATTAATAGAGGGATTGAGTTCAGGAGCCGTGAAGTTATGCTCCAGCTATACAAAAGCCTGGTTCGACCACATCTGGAGCATTGTGTCCAGTTCTGGTCGCCTCATTACAGGAAAGATGTGGAAGTGTTGGAAAAGGTGCAGAGGAGATTTACCAGGATGTTGCCTGGACTGGAGGGAAGGTCTTATGAGGAAAGTTTGAGAGAGCCAGGGCTTTTCTCTTTAGAACGACAAAGGATGAGAGGTGACTTGATAAAGGTGTTCAAAATGATCAGAGGTATAGATAGAGTGGATAGCCTGAGACTTTTTCCTAGGGTGGAGGTAGCTATTATGAGGGGCGTAGTTTTAAAGTGAGTGGAGGTAGATAGAGGGGAGACGTCAGAGGTAGGTTCTTTACTCAGAGAATGGTCAGGGCGTGGAATGAATTGCCGGAGAGGGTAGTGGAGTCGGCCTCATTAGGGGCGTTTAAGCGGCTATTAGATAGGCATATGGATGATAGTATAAGGTAGGGGTGGAGGTTAGATAGACCTTAGGTTTAGGGTAAAAGTTCGGCACAACATCATGGGCCTGTACTGTGCTGTACTGTTCTATGTTCTATGGTTTATGTTCTATGTTCTATGTTCTAAATGGGGAAAGGCTTCAGAAATCTGAAGCACAAAGGGACTTGGGGGTCCTAGTTCAGTATTCTCTAAAGGTTACCATGCAGGTTCAGTTGGCAGTTAGGAAGGCAAATGCTATGGTGGCATTCATTAAAAGAGGGCTAGGATACAAGAGCAGAGATGTACTACTGAGGCTGTATAAGCATTGGTCAGATTACATTTGGAATATTGTGAGCAGTCTTGGGTCCTGTCTCTAAGAAAGGATGTGCTGGCATTGGAGGAGTGGTCCAGAGGAGGTTTACAAGAATGATCCCTGGGATGAAGGGCTTGTCATAAGAGGAGCGGTTGAGGACTCTGTACTTGATTGAGTTTAAAAGGATGAGGGAATCTGATTGAAACTTGGAGAATACTGAGAGCCCTGGATAGAGTGGACGTGAAAAAGATGTTTCCATTAGTAAGAGAGACTAGGACCCGAGGGCACAGCATTAAAGTGAAGGGACAACCCTTTAGAACTGAGATGAGGAGAAATTAATCAGCCAGACGGTGGTGTTTCTGTGAAACTCATTGCCACAGTGGGCTGTGGAGGCCAAGCCATTAAGCATCTTTAAGACAGAGTTAGATAGGTTCGTGATTGGTAAGGGGACCAAAGGTTACAGGGAGAAAGCAGGAGAATGGATTTAAGAAGGTTATCAGCTAGGCTGAAATGGTAGAGCAGAGCTGTTGTGCTGAATGGGCCTAATTCTGCTCCTGTATCTTTTGATCTTAAATGAGAGACCCCTCATTTTTAAACTGTGTTCCCTAGATCTAGACTGCTGCCCCCTGTCCTCACCAAAGGGAAATACCCAGCACCCAGTGGGTCAAAGACCTTTCATGGTCTTGTGTTTCAATAAGATCGCCTCCCGTTTTTCTAGAACCATACAAAATAGACTGAGCCTCTTCAACCTTTCCTCCTAAGATGTTTCACAAAAGTGTTACAGCACAGAGGAGGCCATTCAGTCCATCTGGTCAGCTCTTCAAGTGAGCATCATTGTCAAGTGCTGGTCTCCTGGTTTCTCCCTATATCATTTCACGTTGCTTCTATCCAAATGATCATCCAATACTCTCTTGAACTTTGGCAGACCCTCCCCTCTCAGCGGTACTTTTTAATTTGAATTGATTATTTGTTCCGGCTGTTGCGACTTTTACCATGACCCAGATGAATTTGAACATGTTTTGACACTATGAGGAGGAGTCAGTTCCATCTGACAAGCACTGCACTCAGTTGCTTTCAGGGTTCAGAAGTATTTCATTTCAGTGTGTTTCAGTTCAGTGGGAATAAATCTAAATTGTAGTTGTGTTTGAGATGTACCCCGAAAGGACAATTCTAATATCGCTGTGTTGCGGTGGCTAATTCACGAGTGGACATCTGGCTCCTCGGGAGCCAGGCTTTGCCTTCTGATGATGAAAATTTGTCCATTAGACTCCTGGTGCCTTTTCCATGGCAGTGTTTGACCAATCAGAGTGAAGTTAGCAACTAATCAGTCCCCTTTCCTCATTATAAGTTGTTGTTCCCTTTAGAAATTTTTTGTTATTCTTGCGATTGTGTCCTGATGTGTGCAAGACTTGGACTGCATGTCTCCTTTTTTTAGCAGTTTGTCTGTTTCTGTTGCTTCTCTGGCATTCAGTCGTGCCCCCTGTGATGCTTTCCACTTAGTAAGAGAGTAATGATTTGGGCAGAAGCACGTAAGCCCATTGTGATTAATATTCACTGTTTTATTGCTTCCCTCCCTGTGATCTGGGAACTAATAATCCTGTCTCTCCTTTACTAACAGAAATTCGTGCAGTTCCTTTTTTCTCAATTAAAGTCTGTGACAGACTCTGTTCTCCCTCCGTCTCTCGTAAACTGTCCCACATTCATACTTCAAGAAAACATTGCCTCATGGCCTGTTTTTCCAGTGAAACCTTTATGCTTGGAGCTTTACTTCTCGAAGACTGTACCAAACAAGGAAAAATAAATTCCAGGATTGGAACTCCTGAAACCCACATGAGAAACCTAAGCCCCTCTGTTGAGTAAAGTTTTAAAATAATTTGTGATTCTCTCTGGGGTGAAAATCAACTGTAGTCTTCAGGTAAATTAGAATTGGAGGCTGAGGATAATTAGACCAAGATTAAAATCTGATGTGCTGTCCCTATTTTTGCGTATTTCATCTTAAGTCGTATGTGCACATTTAGAATAGCAGTTACATTTGCAAACATGTCATGCTGTAATTATGACCTCCAGCCAGTTGGGACGTGTTGTTCAGTGTTTCAGTCCACTTACTGATGACAGTATTATTTCACAGTTGCCAAGATTGCATGGTTAATTTCCAGAAGAATACAGAAGCTTATAATGGAAGGAAGGTTTTTTGTTGTTCTGAAGTTATGGTAGATTATTTTATGACAAGTAAAAGACAATTTCCTGGCTGCTGAATGGAAACGTTGTGAGCCGTGCTGTACCTTGCTCATGCTGCTTTTTAAGAGGGCAGCTTCATAGTGTCACTCCAGGGCAAGGGATCATTGGAACCCATATAGTTCACTGTCGGAGGAAAGGGAGGTGGTATTCATAACTACCTGCAGCCTTCCTTTGTGTCTCAAACCCCTGTGGTTCAGTGGGTAGTACTCCCACCTCGGAATCATCAATTTCTGGGTTCATAACACACTCCAGGTCTTAAGCACCAAAATCCATCTTCACAGCCCAGCCCCAGTACTAAGAGAGTGCCGTGCTGCTGTAGGTGCTGGCTTTTGGGTGAGCCAAGGTCTGCTCTACCAGCTCAGGTGGATGGAAATGAACGCACGGTGTTCTTTCAAAGAACAGGAGGGGACTTCTCCCCAGTGTCCTGGCTGACAATTTATTCCTCAAACCGCATCTCGCATGAGAAAAACAGGATTCTCTGGTCTTTGTCGCATTCCTATAAATTCCTGCAGCATCAGAAGGACTCTCCTTCTCAATCTCTCCCCTCACCAGAGAAGTGGTGACCCTCAGGTTAAACAAGCACTTAATATAGATGTCTCTCTGTCGAATGAGAGAGCAGCCCTATGGCCTGGTAGGGCTCCGGCAACTTATCGCATTTGTGGGATTTTGCTGTGTGCAGATTGGCTACATCACAACGGTGACCACACTTTGAAAATTGGCTGAAAAGTACCTTGATAACAAGGTGTGGAGCTGGAGGAACACAGCAGGCCAGGCAGCATCAGAGGAGCAGGAAAGCTGACGTTTCGGGTCCGAAACTCCACACCAGCTCCACACCTTGTTATCTCAGACTCCAGCTTCGGCAGTTCCTACTATCTCTGAAGAGTACCTTGGGTGCTTCAGAGGTTCACAATAAAGAGATTTTTAAATAAATGCAAGCCCATTTGCTGATGTGGTGTGTAAAAAAAGCACCCAGCATCTCAACTTGAGATCGACAACGCCACACTGACATCATCCCAAAAGCAGGTAAATACCAACCTGAACAACCTTGGCTCCATGTGTTATGTAATCCTGGCCGGAGACTCCCACAGATGCTGATGACAGACGTAAGGGAGTATCAGAAAGACCATGGAAGCCTGATGGTGCGTGTCCTGACCTCGAGCAGATACGGAGATTGCTGGAGAAACTTGGGGTCTGGCAGCATCTGTGGTGAGAGAAACAGAGTCTAACATTCCGAGTCCAGTGAGACTGTTGTTCAGAACCGTTCCAAAGTGCAGGCATTTTGGACTTGAAATGTTAACTCTCCACAGATGCTGCCAGACCTGCGGAGTTAATTTGCGTATTGAATCATTGATCTGGGCCTGTTTAGCATCTTACAAACACAAATCAGTTGATGTCTCCCACCTCCCTCGCCCTGTCATGCAAAAACGTAAACAGTAGGAGGAGCTGTAAGGCTGCTCGGCGCGTCAAGTCTGCTGCAACATTCAGTCAGATCGCATCTTCCCCCTCAATCCTACTCCCCCTCCAGATCCCCGTGCCCTGTAACCCGCTCGGTTACACTTTCGCCTTTGGAATGTAGCACTAATGTTCATGCTAACACTGTACTAACTGTTTTCTTGCATCCTTTCGTTTCCTGCCTCACTAACCTTTAACCTCTCCGATGGTAGGAGGCTAAAGAAATCAGCTGGGACCAGGTAATCTCCAGTTTTCTTTTTAAGCGGTCAGTTTAAATCTAGTTTAAGGTGTCGTGGTTTTTGGAGGGGGTGCAGCTGGCTTGGTTGGCGAGAGTGCAGTGCACAGCAGAATGGGTTCATGTCCGCTGATGGCGGGGATTCAGTCTTGAGGGGCCATCCTGCCTCCTCACCTTAACTCGAGAGTGGCCTCATGGTGTAACTGGAGACTAACATTCTTCAGACGATGAGGATGCAACGCAGAGAGAGATTGGAACTGGGGGAAACATCATCTTTAATACACTGGGGAGGTGGATGAGGGAATCATGTTGCTGTGGGCCTCTTGCTGCAAGTGTTTTCTTTTAGAAAAAAAATACATTGTTGCTGTGGGAAAGGGGCCACATTTTTTGCCTATCCCTGACTGCTCTGGAGAGTAGTGAAGGGTCAGTCACGTTGCCCTGGGACTGGAATCGCTGGGGTTAAGGCAAAACAAGGCCAGCTAGTTTTTACCCTAAAGGACCTTAGCAAACCCAACGGGGATTTTATGATAATCTTGGGGCCACGGATTACTGAGCCTAATAGCTCCCAATTCCAAATTGCATTGTTTAAATTCATGAACTTGTTTGAATTTAAATTGCCCCAGTTGCTGTGGTGGGATTTGCATGAGCTTGGCCCTTGTGTTTACTTGGTCCAGTGATATTACCCCTACGTCACACTGGTCTCCATCAGGGTGCCCAGCTGGCCCCCATATCACTGAGCACTGCTGAAGGCTGCAACCCATTGCCGATGGAGCCTCCAGTGACAAAACTTTGATACGTTTCGGTGAGGGAAGGCCTGGGAGAAATACCACCATAGGGGCAATTAAATACAATGCTGCTGGTGTGTGTCTGTGTTGAATTCAGAAAGGCGCCTTTGAAGCCTCTCAGGATGCCTTACTGTGTTGTAAGTGCAATATAGATGGAGGTTATCAATTCACTTAAGGGCATTCTACAGCGGGTTTGTTCAGGATACCTTTGGCATTATGTTACCTTTGACCCTGAGCAAACACTTTGACCTACCTACGGGTGTCAGTGAATCTGTGACCACCCTCGGTGAGTTTGCGAGAAGCACCTTCCTTCAAATGTGAAGCTTATTGTCTCTGGGGGCTGCTTTAATTCTGGAGTATTGATCCTTTCAGATCTTGGCGTATGGCGACATGAACCACGAGTGGGTGGGGAACGATTGGCTACCCAGTCTCGGACTTCCGCAGTATCGGAGTTACTTCATGGAATCACTGGTCGATGCCCGCATGTTGGACCATCTGACCAAGAAGGAACTTCGAGGCCAACTGAAGATGGTCGACAGTTTTCACAGGTATGGTCTCCCTGCAGCCCCTCAGTTGGCGTTCTCCAGTACTATATAAACAGCTGTCACTGGGCACTGCCTTAAAACTGACACATAGTGCAGACCCTCATGTGGATACCGGCCCAAGGACTAGCCTATCTCTGGCTCTTAGGGCAGCATGGTGGCTCTGTGGTTAGCACTGCTGTCTTGCAGCGCCAGGGACCTGGGTTCGATTCCACCCTCGGATGACTGTCTGTGTGGAGTTTGCACATTCTCCTCCTATCTGTGTGGGTTTCCTCCGGGTGCTCCAGTCTCCTCCCACAGTCCAAAGATGTGCAGGTTAGGTGGGTTGGCTATGTTAAATTGCCCATAGTGTTCAGGGATGTGTAGGTTAGGTGGGTCATAGGGGGATGAGTCTGGGTGGGATGCTCTGAGGGTCGGTGTGGACTTGTTGGGCCAAAGGGCCTGTTTCCACACTGTAGAGATTCTATGATATACTGATTCCCGGTTTTTTGGTGAGGTATGAAACTGGACACTAATTTTGTTCTGATACTGGGTTTAACCACAGAATGCCATTTCCAACCTCGCAACCCAGTTACCCAGCAGCCTCCCTTTACAAGTGCTTTGGGTACACAATTAATGCCTTCTGCTTCTGTATCTTAACGATATAATGAACATGCCATTAACATGGCCATTCTGAAGATGGGTCACTGGACCCAAAATGTTGATTCTGATTTCTCTCCATAAATGCTGCCAGACCTGCTGAGTTTTTCCAGCAATTTCTATTCCTGATTTCCAGCATCCACAGTTCTTTAGTTTTTGTTTTGTTTAATGGCGTTAACATATCAGGCTCCACCATCAATAACCAACATTACTAAAGCTGATGGACTCCTTGCTGGTTTTGGAATCTTGCTGTGCACAGTTTTCCCTGCAGCAACGGTGGGCGACACTTCAGAACTACCTCGCTGGTTGCAAAGGTTTTATAGGAAGGGAGGAGTGGGGAAAGGCGCTATATAATTGCAGATTCCATTATAAGACACCGCAGTTCCACAGTTTGTGCTCGTTGTGTATGGGTCGCCCCGTTTGTGTGATGTGGATGCCTCTGTGTTGCAGAATCAGTCTCCACTATGGCATCATGTGTCTGAAGCGGCTGAACTACAACAAGAAGGAGCTGGAGAGCAAGCGGGAGGGGAGTCTCATTCAGCTGAAAGGTGAGTGTGTCGCTGGTGTCACTGCGTGAAATGCACTGGCTGAGGTTAACCAGCTCGAGGACAGGCGTTCAGCAGAACCTCATCTCTTGACAAGATGGTACCGCTTGCCAAAGGCAAAGAGAGAGGAGATGGTGCTGAGAAAAGACCTTAAGAGCTAGGAGCAGGCCATTCAGCCCCTTGAGCCTGCTCTGCCATTCAGTACAATCATGGCTGATCTCATCTCAAGCTCAACTCCACTTCCCTACCCACTAAACATAACCCTTTAACCCCTTACTAATAAACCTGTCGATCTCCTCCTTAAATTTACTCAATGTCCCAGAATCCACCACACTCTGGGGGAGTGAATTCCACAGATTCATGACCCTTTGAGAGAAGCCATTCCTCCTTATCTCTGTTTTAGATCTGCCGCCCCTAACCCTAACACTGCTATTATGAGGGGGCATAGTTTTAAGTGAGTGGAGGTAGATATAGGGGAGACGTCAGAGGTAGGTTCTTTACTCAGAGTGGTAGGAGCGTGGAATGCATTGCCGGAGAGGGTAGTGGAGTCGGCCTCATTAGGGGCATTTAAGCGGCAATTAGATAGGCATATGGATGATAGTATAAGGTAGAGGTGGAGGTTAGATAGAACTTAGGATTAGGATAAAAGTTCGGCACAACATCGTGGGCCGAAGGGCCTGTACTGTGCTGTACTGTTCTATGTTCTATGTTCTAACACTGTGACCTCTCGTTCTAGATTGCGGGACATGGGGAAACATCCCCTCTACGTCTGCTTTGCCATCTTATATCTCTCAATTAGATTGCTTCTCATTCTCCTCAGCTCAAGGGAGCATAGGCCTAAACTGCTCAATCTTTCCTCATCAGACAAACCAATTATCTCTGGGATTAATCTGGTAAATCTTCTCTGAACTGCCTCCAACACAATTACATCCTTTTGTAAAGTAGGGGAAATGTATGTATACTCCATGTACAGTGGATTAAAAAGACCTATGTCTCGACACATTTCTTATCAAGTTTTGTTTTGTTATAAATAAAATATAAAGCACAGAACTGGGCCATTCGGTTCAGGAGTTTTTGATCCTCATTAGTCTAATACAATCTCTGTCCTTCTCACTCGACCTGCATAACTGTGAATATTTTCCCTTGTTTATCTAAACATCCACTTTAACGCATCGATACTATTCACCTCAGCTACTCCCTCACACTCACACACTCGTTACGCCCTGGGTAAAGAAGTTGCTCCAGAATTTAAATTAAAAAACGAAAAATGAAAGAACTGCGGTTGCGGTAAATCAGGAAACAAAAAACAGAAATTGCTGGAAAAGCTCAGCAAGTCTGGCAGCACCTGTGAAGAAAAAACAGAGTTAACGTTTCGGACCCGAAACGTTAACTCTGTTTTTTCCTTCACAGATGCTGTCAGACCTGCTGAGCTTTTCCTGCAATTTCTGTTTTATTTGCTCCAGAATTTGCCTATTGGATTTATTTTTCTTTAATCTGTAATTGGCTGTGGTGTCACTGGCAAGGTCAGTATTTGTTGACTGTCCCTAATTGTTCTTGAACTGCGGAATATATGACCATGAGTTGGCTGTTCAGCCCATCCACCCTTCCTGGCCATTCACTATGATCATGGCTGATCAAATGCCTTTCAGTGTGTTTTACTCACCCCCATCCCCATAACCCTGTGCATCAGTGGTAATCAGAAATCTATCAATCTCTACCTTAAACATACACAAAGACAGCCCTCTGTGGTAGTGAATTCCAAAGATTAACAATCCCCATAGTAAATAATTTCTCTTCATCAGGAACCTAAAAGGCATTCCCCTTGATTTTTAAATTGTGTCCCCTTAGTCCTAGACTCCCCAACCAGGCAAAACATCTTTGTCTGCATTGACCCTGCCTGTATTTTGTAGGTTTAATCGAGATCCGTCTCATTCTTCGAAACTCTAGCGAGTTACAGGCCCAGTGTACCCAATCTCCCTTCATAGGACATCCCCACTATCCTGGGAACAAGTCTGGTGAACTTTTATTGCATTCCCACTATGGAGCAATACCTTTCCTGAGATAAGGAGATAAAGACTGCACACAGTATTGCAGATACGATCCTAGTAAAGCTCCTGTATAACTGAAGCAAGGCTTCACTGCTCCTGTTCTCAAATCTTCTTGCAATGACAGCTAATGTTCCATTAGCCTCCCTCCCAGCCTGCTGCACCTACATGGCAGTCTTCAGCCTGAGTTACTTGCTCAATCAGTTCAGAGTACAGCTACGTTGCTGTGAGTCCAAAGTCAGATAGGGTAAGGGTGGTAGTTACCCAGCCCCAGTGTTTTTTTTTAATCCACTCACAGGATGTGGGTGTCACTGACTGAGCCAAATCTAATTGCCCAGAGTTAAGAGTCAACCATATCACGGAATCCCCACACAGTGTGGAAACAGGCCCTTCGGCCCAACAAGTCCACACCAACCCTCAGAGGATCCCACCCAGATCCATCTCCCTAAGCTACACATCCCTGAACACAACAGGGCAATTTAGCATGGCCAATCCATCTAACCTGCACATCTTTGGACTGTGGGAGGAAACTGGAGCACCCGGAGGAAACCCACACAGACACAGGGAGAATGTGCAAACTCCACACAGACAGTCGCCTGAGGGTGGGATCGAACCCAGGTCCCTGGCACTGTGAGGCAGTAGTGCTAACCACTGAGCCACCGTGCCACTCTGACCCCAGTGGCAGCCTGGTATGGAGTCACATGTAGACCAGACCAGGTCAAGAGGACAGATTTCCTTTCCATAGTGAACCAGAAGGTTTTTTTTTTCCTGACAATCATCAGACTCAAAATTCCAGATTTTTATTGAGTTCAATTTCCACTATCTGCTGTTTTGGGATTTTGTCCCCAGGACGTTATCTGGGTCTCTGGGCAATAATGGATCTAAACTATCACCTCCCTCCTATTAGAAGTCGTGATAAGTCAGATGGGATTTTGTTTTAAATAAAAATCAGTGGTCACCATAAATGAGACCATTTTTATATTCTGCATTTATTAATTGAATTGACATTTCCCCAGCTGTTGTGTTGGGATTTGAAGCCATGTCCCCAGGCCATTAGTCTGAGCCTCTTGATTACTAGTCTAGTAACAGTACCACTACATCAACGTAGTCCCCTTGACTGGCATATATCTGTGGACCCCCACTCTTGCCTTGCCCATAAATGGAGTCATCTCCTCTACATCACCCTTTACAACATTTATTAACCGCTTCTCGGTTTTCTCTTTTTCTGGGGAGTTCTAAATTTCTGCATCTGAGCTTTTAATGGAAGCACCCTATGTAAACATGTCACACTGTCATTACACTCTCTTGCCAATGGAGGTGCTGTATAACACTACTGCGAAGAGGAGAATCGCAGTCATGAAAAGCTTCATAGTGACGCATCCCTCAAATAACGGATTATCCAATCAATGTAACACTCTGTGAGAGTCTGCTTTGCGCAGTTTTGGCTGCTAGGTTTCCTACAGCTGGTACTAGACTTCAAAGTACTTTGTTAGCTGTTAGAGTGTCTTTGGACATCCTGAGCTCTCACTCACCTCCTCCAGCCCCACAGCCTGCCAAGGTCATTGCACCCTCCAATTCTAGTCTCTTGTACATAACCAACATTGGCAGCCATGATTTCAACACAGGGAATACCTACCATCCCTCTCCTCTTCAGGACAATCCTTAAAATCAATCTCGTTAACTAAGCTTTTACTCAACTGTCCAACTATCTCCTTCTGTTGCTCGGTTTGATTTGATTACGTTACTGTGAAATTTTCTGCGAGGATTTATGATGTGAAAAATGCTGTACACCATAACCTGGCTACTCCAGACTGGGACTCAGTCAGTTCTGGATCCCTAACATTTTCCCTGAATCATCAACATCTTTAATCAGTCACTTTTTTTTCCCTTTTGTTTCTTATTTAGCCAAATCTTTCACATGTAATTATTGCCAAGGTCTGTTCGAAAGATTCCCAAGAACTGGTGTTTACAAAAAAAAAGTATCCACTCCTTCCGCCACCGACGCTCAGTCGCAGCAGTGTGTACCATCTACAAGGTGCACTGCAGTAACTCACCAAGGCTCCTTAGACAGCACCTTGCAAATTCGCAATCTGGAAGGACAAGGACAGAAGGTACATGGGAAGGAACACAACCCCCTTCAAGAGCCACTCACCATCCTGACTTGGAAATGTGTCGCCATTTCTTCAATGTTGCTGGGTCAAAATTCTGGGCATTCCTCCCCCAATAGCATAGTGGGTCAACCCACAGCATCATGGACTGCAGCGGTTCAAGAAGGCAGCTCACTACCACCTTCTCACGGGGGCAACTAGGGACTAGGGCAAGAAATGCCGTCGAAAGCGGAAACAAAGATACAAATTCTAAACTGGAACGGTTACACTCGAGAAATATTAGTGTCGTTCCACCACTTCCTGTTTTACCTGGGAGTCCGAATGTGACGTTAACACGTTAGAGCTGCAGTGGCAGTTTCACGCCTTTCTCTTCCTGTCCTTTGCAGACGTGATGGTGTGGACAAATGATCGGATGATGGGCTGGGTACAGGACATTGGGCTGAAGGAGTACAGCAGTAACCTCCAGGAGAGTGGGGTTCACGGGGCACTCATTGCACTGGATGACACCTTTGATCATAACGACGTTGCCCTACTCCTGCAGATCCCGATGCAGAACACGCAGGTAGGTGCTGGGCATGGGCTGTGCCTCCTGACATCCGTGGGATGTGGGCATCACTGGCAAAGCTGGCATTTGTGGCCAATCCCTAATTACCCTGAGACTGAATTTCTTAAAAGCCCCGGTGAGCCAAAAAAAACAATGCAGCAGAGGAACAGGCCTTTCGGCCACTACGACTGTGCTGGCACGTGATCCCTTTCTCAACTAAAAGCCTTTTCCCTCTGCTCAGTCAATATCCTTCTGTTCCTTCTCTATTTGTATATCTGTCAAGATGCGGCTTAAATGTTACTGTTGTATCCGCCTTCACCACCTCCTCTGGCAGCAAATTCTAGGCACTTAGCACCCTCCATATGTGGAAATTTGTCCGTCACATCTCCTTTAAACTTAACCCCTTTTACCTTAAATCTGTGTCCCCTACTAAACTACTAAAGTTGAACACAGTTGCTAAGGGGTGACCTTTTAGAGGTTTATAAAATCATGAGGAGCATGGATAGGGTGAATAGCCAGGTTAGGGGAGTCCAAAACTAGAGGGCATTTGTTTAAGGTGAGAGGGGAAAGATTTAAAAGGGACCTGAGGGACAGCTTTTTCACACAGACAGTGGTGCGTGTATGTAACGAGCTGCCAGAGGAAGGGATGGAGGTTGGTACAACATTTAAAAGGTGTCTGGATGGGTACATGAACAGGAAAAGTTTAGAGATTATGGGCCCAATGCTGGCAAATGATTGATTGATTTATTTATTGTCACATGTACCAAAATACAGTGAAAAGCTTTGTTTACTTGGGGTACAGGCAGATCATAGTAAGCAAAGGATGTGCAGATCAAAAAGCATGAGACAGAGGCATACAGGTTACCTGGCACAGGGCATGCACTAGAGGAAATCAACATTAGCAAGATCAGCGTTATTTGAAGTTAGAGAGTCCATTCAGCAGTCTGATAACGGCTGGGAAGAAGCTGTTCCTGAACCTGCTCATGTGTGTGTTCAGGTTTCTGTATCTTCTGCCTAACAGGAGAGGTTTTAGGAGATCATTACCGGTGCAATGGGTCTTTGATGATGTTGGCAGCCTTTCTGCAGCAGCGTGCCATGTAAATGGAATCCATGGATGGAAAGTTGGCTTCTGTGATGGTCTGGGCTGTGTACACCACCTTCTGTACTTTCTTACTGTCCTGGGCAGAGCCATACCAGGCCGTTATGCATCCAGACAGTATGCTTTCAATGGGGCATCTGTAGATGTTGGTGAGGGTCCTTATGGACATGCCAAATTTCCTGAGCTGCCTGAGGAAGAAGAGGC